GCAGACAAGAGACAGTTAAGAAAAAGACAGGATGGAGGGCATGGGGAGGCGGGTGGGCAGATAAAAAACACAGGTCAATGAGCCAAACCACACACGTACAAGAAACAAAAAAGAGAAAAAAAAAAAAAAATGATGATAAGTTGATAACAAGATTGTTTGTCAGAGTTGCACCGACTCATCAGGAGGCTGAATCCTCAACAATCTGTGGAATCTCCATATTTAATGGTTTGGGTCATGAACCCTTTGACCCTTGTTGACGGCAGACTGTCCCCAAGCGGAACATAGCAGCGGTTAGCAACCCTGTGGAGCACCAGGCAACACAGTAGAGGCAACACAGCTGCACATTGCAAAAAGCGAATGCAACAAACGACAGGGGAAGGGGATGACGGATGAACAGCACAGCAACCGTGTAGTGAAGCACAAGGCAACAAAAACAAGGCAACCAGACTGCGAGGGATGACAGGGCGAGCGGACCAGCAGCTCGTCAACCCTGCAGCGAAGCACAAGGAAACAGCAATAAGGCAGCCAACCTACAAGGCATGCAAGCAAAAAACACGGAAGGCACGAACAGCGGATGGGGAGCAAGGCAGCGGAGCAGCGAAGCGCAAGGCAACACTAAAAACACGGCCACACCACACAGCGAACACAGCAACTTGCAGAGAACCACATGCGAAGGAAGCGGGACACGAGGCAACGCAGCAGCGGGGCGCAGACGAGGTAGTCCACACATCCAACACGGAGCAAAGCAGCACATGACCTACTCACATCACAATTGAACTCCACAGACTGTTGGTTCCCACCACACACTGAGCCAAGGAGATACCGACGAGCATCCATCATCGCCCACACGCAACACAGACATCCCGAACCAAGCCGGCCCCCTAAGAGTGCTGTAGGCACTCCAGACAAGGAATGATCAACTGTTTGCCACTGCTTGAGGGTGCTCAGTTGGGCACACAAAAATACCAAAAAAAACGGAAAGGACAGACAACATGGAGAAGCCAAACAGACAGAGAAGTGATTGTGTGTGTGTGTGTGTGTGTGTGTGTGTGTGTGTGTGTGTGTGTGTGTGTGTGTGTGTGAGTGTGTGTATGCATGTGCGCACATGCGTTTCTGTGTGATTGCTATGGTACGTTGTGTGTGTGTGTGTGTGTGTGTGTGTGTGTGTGTGTGTGTGTGTGTGTGTGTGCGCGCGCGTGCGCGTGAGTGTGTGTATGCATGTGCGCACATGCGTTTCTGTGTGATTGCTATGGTACGTTGCCACTAACCTTGAGCAGAAACGAGATCAATGGTCATAGACCGTGAACACCATCTAGACATTTGGAACTGCGACGTGTGGGAATGTGGACATGTAACTGCTAGCAGACAAAAATACACACAGGCTGCCAGTGGCTGGTGGTTTGTTTTCCTGTATGTTTATACTGGGAAAAATTGGAAACACTGCGAAAACAGGCAGGCAAGAGAGCACCTCTGAGGCCATTTGCCATGTGCAGGGCCTCGAACAAGTGACTTCTAAATTTAGCCCATGGTGCCAGTTTGCAGCTTCCGTCAACACAGGCATGGGAACACTTTTGGCAGGAGATGATATTGTTCATGAGCATGAAAAGGTAAGGGAGTGAGGTAAAAGGCTGCAAGCCAAAGGACCTTGCTCCACTGCACACTCTACATGCATTTGGACAATCTCTGGACCAGGTGCCTTCTGAGGAGTCCAATGTTTTGTCTGTACCGGTCCAGAAAGTGTCCAAATGCATGTAGAGTGTTGTGTAGTGGAGCGAGGCCCAATGAGTAGTGATGCAAAAGACTGTAGGGCAAAACGGGGCGAGGCGAAAGGCTGCAAGGCAAAATTCAGCGAGGGAAAAAGCTGCAAGTCACAAGGCGGCAAGGCAAAAGGCAGCCCAACGACCAGGCAAGCAGCACGTAATGACAAGGCAGCAAGGCAAAGGGCGGGCGGCAAAAGGCAGCCAAACGACCAGGCAAGCAGCAGGGAAGACAGGGCGGTGAGGCAAAAGGCAGGGAGGCAAATGGCTGTGAGGCAAAAGGCGGCAAGGCAAAAAACAGTGACAAAAACAGTGCAGCCAAACGACGCCGCAAACAGCACGGCAGGGCAGGGGAAGTGGATGGGTGGCCAGGAAGAAGGGCAGCACAGACCCACGCAGCCCATCACCTACTCACACCCAAAGAAGAACACTGCGGGCACCCTCCTAATAGTGTTGCAGGCACTCAAAGCGAACAGATATTGACTATTAGGCTGGTCTCAGGTGCTCACTCAGACACCCAGAAAGTACCTGGAATAAAAAGCAGAAGGAAGACATATGAACATATTCTTGTGTGTGTGTCTGCGCGCGTGCGAGCGCACAGGCACACATGTATTTCCGTGTCATTGTTGTGTCACACTGCCCCTACACTTAAACCACCAGCATCCTTCCCCGCTTGAAAAACAAATACGCAGCAGCATTCGGAAGCATTTTTCAGGGGTGAGGGTACCGGACCAGAATGGCTGGGGGTGCCAGCCAAAATGAGGCCCATGCCAGTTCGTTTTTTTTGGCGCGCAGGGCGATTTTAGGGTGGCCATGAATAGTTTGGAAAGGTACTGGAAAGCCGCAGGGAAAATCAAGCATAACAGGTCAACACCATTTAGATAGTTGGAACTGAGACATGTGGGGATGTTCACATGGGTACTGTAACTGCTAGCAGACGAAAATAGGTGAAATGCACAAGCTGCCAGTTGGGTGCGGTCGGGTACGGACAACGGTTACCCGTTTGCCCTCTCTGGTGGGAACTTTTCTTTTCTTTTTTCTTTTTTTTTGGGACAAAAACTCCAATCTATTCGTGGGGAGCAGCACGTGCTGGAGACCGGGTCCAGCATCCCATAAGAACATTTACGCTTCAACAAGGATCTTTTTTGAGAAAGGTTAAGAGGATGTGGCATACTGCGTAGCCACTCGGGCCCTGCAGGGCCCGTCCCGGACATTCAGCCTAAAAGCCTAAAACTTAGGGCTTACACGCCCCGTTCGTTTCAGCCTGAAAGCTGAAAAACGAGGGCCTGCAGGCCCTACCCCGTTTCAGCCTATTTCTGGGTCTTTTCAGACCCAAGAGTTTTCAGCCTGAAACGGAGGGCCATTTTCAGGCCCTCATTGTTTCGACCTGCCCCTAAGACTCAGGCACGTAAACAGGGATGCGGAACAGGCCAGAAATAGCCTGTTCCTCACGAGTTTGAGCAGGAGCTGCAGCTGCAGCCCCTGCCTCCCTTCGGCAGGCTCAGGAGGCACACCCGTAGTACAAAGGAAGTTCCCATGCACTTCACGGGTAGGTAGTTCAGTAGGCACGAGGTAGTCTTCAGGATTCGGCCGCAGCACTCAGGAGGAGCGCTGCAGTAGTCT